TTGTCCTCTTCCGCCTGCAGGTCATCCAGTGTTTGCTGATGGGCCTCTTGGAGGGCTTTCTTCTCTTTTGTCAGCTTGGCAATGGTCTCGTCCAGCGTGGCCATCTCCTCTGTGAGGTTTTTCACCTTTGAGAAGAAAGGAGCAAATGTAAATAAAGGAAGTGGGTACAGAAGTCCTGTAACAGCACAGTGCTCTATTCTGGAGCATGAGTGACAGGTTCTGCCTTATACCTTGTTTTCAGTGGCATGTTTTTCCTTCTCAACCTTGGCCAGTGTTAACTCAAGATCGTCAATATCTTTCTTCAGCTCTGAACATTCATCCTCCAGTTTCCTCTTCTTGGCTGTGAGTTCAGCATTAATTTCTTCTTCATCCTCAGCCCTTTCAGTCACCTCCTTAATTTTGGCTTCCAGCTGGATTTTGGTTTTGATGAGCTGGTCACATCTTTCCTCAGCATCAGCCAAACTATCTGCTTCCTGGTGGGGACACACAGATTTCGTTTGTTATAAGTATTTGGAAGTTTCTTTTCTTTATCTTTTATCTTTCTTTAATTGAGATATGTAAAAACCATCTCTGAAACAGCCTTTCCACTCAAACAGCTGAACAATGTCACCAGATTTCTGTCTGGGAAATAATTATGCAAGTTGTCAGTTTGGCAAAACTTCAATTTTTTTTGGCTTTTTCAGAAATGTCTCTCGGAATTGTAATTGTGAGAATATCTCATGCAGTTACAGGCATCACAAAAAAATGACCACCTCCTTTACTAATTTTTCAGTGAAATGGACTTGCATGCTTTTTCCTCCATATACAATAACCAGTGGCTTCCCTCTTGTAATTGATGCTGAACCTAGTGTTATATGGGGAAGTAAAAGTTTTATTATTCTCAAGAATAAACTTTTAGATACAGAAGAGTATCACTCTTATTCATTAATTTCACTGTACATATTATAGAGGTAGTGCCTTTTAAAAAACGTGCATACTTGTTGTACTTCCAGCCTGTCTGTCTGGAGTTTTTAATGCTGATTTCAGTTGCCTTTCTATTGCTTCAATCTTTGGTATTACATTTGAAGAGCTTTGTCCTAAATGAGTTTAACTGACAGATACCTTTATAAATAAGAAGATCAAAATCCGTGTCTATTTTTCTTTTTCAGACTGAGGAAAAAGCCCTAAGTTTCCCATTTTCTAACTGAGGACTCAAATCACTGTGTAACTAGGGGAAATGTGAATAATGTATTTGGTAATGTCAGTGCTTTCAATAATTTAATGAGTAATTTAGAATTACTTTGTAAGATAGGTTTTGAATATCAAGTAGTGTTGGAATATATTTTAAAATATGAATTTATTTTTCTAAATTTGATGTATCTGCAAGGTTCATTAGATATTGTTAATAACAAATCTACCACATGGCATATGATGAAAATCCAGATTGCAGATGCAAATCACTACAGTGCTCAGAAATGAAAGATTTTTCTTGGTTATTTATCTGCTTTGTTATTCTGCATTGTACTAAATTATGTCTAAATAATACACAGGTGTAAAGTGCTTACCCAGAGATGATGGTTTGATATTATTATACCTACGTATGCTCTCCAAATTTGGTATAAACATTTTGTATTTAAGGGTTCCAGATTAAAGCAGAATCGGCAGGACTCAGACAACCAGACAGGATCAACATCTTCCTTTATCAGAGTGTATCTACCTCCTCCTTTTCATCTCCCCAGGGAATACCAAGCACTTTTGAGCACAGTAAAACATCATAGAACAACCCTGGGAGATGAGACTTTTGTTTAGAAGGAGGAGCTCTGGATTAATTTCTTTTCAGACTGAGGAGATATGTAAAGCTATATTTCCCACTTCCAGAATGAACAATTATCCATTAGTTAATAAGTAGCTGAATTTACAAGGATCAATTTGAATTCTAGGTTGCATTTACTGTCCAAACTGAATTAATCCAAGTGAGATAGAGATACTGCCTGCAGCACGCACCTGCTCAAAGGGAGATGAGGGTTCAAGTACAACCCTATCCTGAGTATTTAATCTTGGCTAGCTATAGACGGCTTTTTCCTCAGGAAACAAGAGCACTGACTCACACTTGGAGTTCCGTGAGTCTTTGTAATGGCTCTCAGAAAGCTTACCATGCTACTGCGAGACACTAGTTTCTTCACCTTCACAGTCAATATGATGCATAATTCAACAAATTTCTGACATCTGGTCACCTTCTACTTGTGAAAGAGCAGTCTGAATGTATAGACTCCTTATCTGAGTGGGAAATGAATGGCAATACTCACAGCCTGCACTTGGAGCTGCAGGTCATTTTTCTCCTGCAGCAGAGAAACCATTTTCTCCTCCAGCTCCTTCCTCTTTGCCTCAGACTTTTCAAGCTCTTCCTTGGTTTTCTCAAACTCTTCCTTCATGTTGGCCATCTCCTTCTCAGATTCTGCACTCTTCAGCAAGGGCTTGATCTTAAAGAACAGCTTCATCCAAGACCAGTGCTTGACATTCATGAATGAACGAACGTTGTACTGGATGCAGAAGATGGACTCCCTGACGCATAATAAAATGTACATTGAGTATTTTTTGTATGATGAGTGTCAACACTTTCCCCCAAGTACAGTGACTCTGACTGAAGATGAGGAATGTCTACCTCCTCTCCACCATTCTCTGGTACTCCACTCTCATCAGGAAGCCCCTGCACCTGGCCTGAGTGCGGGTGATGAGCTGTGCCAACTTCTCATCCCTCATCTCCTCCAGGAGTCCCAGCAGCCCAGCTTTGAAGAACACCTTGAGAAAGGGAATGCTGTCACACGTCACTGTCAGGTAGAGCAACGCACAGGCACACAATGAGTAGGTCAAGGAAGGTTTGTACCTTGGTGTGGCCAAATTTGTACTGGGTGTGGTCCACATCGATTGACCCGAGAAGCTTCTCAGAAGCCTTCTTGCTGTCAATGAACTGTCCCTCTGGGATAGCACTGGCATTAAGCACCTTGTATCTGTGGAATGAGAGGAAATACGAATTAAAGCAATCTGAAGTCATAAGGTTATGTTGATTACTGAAATTAACAGAAGTCTCTGCAGCCGAATAAGGCTTAAGAAGTTAGAATTCCATCCCTTGTTTAGAGATACAGTTATAATGATGTCCTAATCTCATAACAAAATTAAGGAAACTTTTACTGTCTGTAGGTTATCAGTCATAGATGAAAAGAGGACACTGATCTCCATCTATGTCAGTCCAACACCTTTTCACTTAAACTATGCTGTAAAAAATTGCTAGAGAAGAACATTGCCGCTAAGTGTAAAGGAGGAAAGCATCTTTCCCTGAAAGTTGTCACCGATACAATGGCCAAAGCATTCGATCCGAGTTTGTAATTTTTGTCTGAGAACATGTTGTGCCACATCCCAATCTGCATTTTTTAATCGTGTAGTCACTGGCCTGTGTAGCTGTATTGTGCTTCTATAGTCAGAGACACTGGAAAAGTTCAGCTCATTGATGAACAGTAACCAGCGAGGACACCTGTCTTATCTCTTAATTTCTCAACAATTTCTCTTTTGCTAGCCATACATGTTGTTTTGGTTATACATTCCAGCATTTTCCCCTTCTTTCAGTTACAATCAGATAAAGCTGGCATTATAAACTAAGCACAAATTTTAAAATAGTTAAGATATACAACTTATGCGGTAAAGACAGAATGGAGAGTAGAAAGGAAACTGACCTCTGTTTGAAGTCTGCATAGAGGATTCTGCTGGGGAATCCCTTCCTGCAAATTCTGATCCCTTCCAGCACACCATTACAGCGCAGCTGGTGTAGCACCAGTTCATGCTCCATGGCACCTAAGTAAATAAGACAATTGTTTGATACTTCATGATAAAGCATAGAGAATAATGGCTGAATCACACTATGATTTCTCTCTACTTGTGGTTCTTACCAGGTGTTTTTGTTTCATTGGGGATGATACAGCGCACAAAATGGGGGTGAGTGCTCCGTAGATTGGTCATCAACTTGTTTAGGTTCTCCTGTAGGTTCATGAGCAAAGATTTTTCATTAACAAATGGTACCTCTGCAGTTATATTGTCAAATGTGAGAAAAGCATTGGAAAGCAATAATGGATTTATTATTCCCACCTATAGCCATCCTAGTTTGAGTTTTCTTCTGCCTTTCAGTCTTGAGCAGGAGAGAAAGTCATAAAACTGTGCAATGTGTTTTCATGAAACTGAGGGATAAATCCACTCAGACAAGACACTTATGGAGAATGGTGACCAGAAGTTTGTGGCAAAAAGAATAATTCTGAGTGAAAGATGATTCTTTGTAATCACCAGATTCTCACTCTATGGAAGACACTGACAATTGACGGGAAAAGAAACAAAACCAAAAATAGGACAAAAGGGAAGAGGGGCAAGGACAAAGTTTGCACAGAAGGCTGGGAAACGGAAGCTTAATGCCTTTATGTGATACTTGTGAAGATATATTTGGCAAAGGTTGAGCAGAGGAAGACAAGAAAGACTCTCTGTTCAGTAAGAATGGGGTCACAAGTCATAAGGCACAAGTGGCAGGTCCTACAGCACCCCTTTCTAGAAGTGTTTTTAAAAGCAAACCCATAAAGTACCTCTCATTTCAGCAATCACTTTTACTAGCTAGGTCCTAACAGTTCTGAGCTTAACCCTGCTTTGCATTAGGATCAAAGTTGCTCAGACAAATACCTCTTCCACAGTGTGAAAAACTGTTCAGGATGCCAGATATTAGCTAGATGCCACAGGTGCTGAAATAAAAGTGTTTCCATCTGACTGAAGCTCTGTCCATTGGTGGAAAGGTAATAGAAAAGAGGAAAGAAACAGAGAGAATGATTTCTGTACTTACCCTGAAAAGAGCTGATACAGTCTGGAAAGAAGAACCCTTCTTCTTGCCTCCCTTTTTACCACCGCCACCACTCTCTGAAGAACATGAAAAAAAGATGGTTTTACAATTTTGATTTGTAGAATTTTTCTTTATGAGACTGCAAGAAGCGTGTTCATATGTATCAGTCATGCTAAGAAAGGAACAGAGGATGCAGAGGGAAATGGAGTCAACATTCAATCTAAAGGAACACAAGACCAAGGATGTGTGATAATCAAGGGGATTAACATGGCTGAGTGGAAGGCCTGAAATACTTTTGATCTTTTCCTTTGTTAATATATTCAAGCCATGGGAGACTCTGCATAACATGCAGTTTCTTGAGAACACTCTAGCAGATGTTCATGTCTCTGATAGAGTCATTAAATAAAAATGAAAATATGAATTTCACAGAACTGACCTGCCTCTCCTGCAGCAGAAGCAAAGAGCAAGGCCAGTGTTTTCAACGATGATTTCTGGTACAACCCCACAACAGTTTCATTCAGGGGGTCCTTATTCTTGTCAAGCCAGCCAGAGATGTTGTAGTCCACTGTACCAGCATAATGTACCAGGGAGAAGTGGGCCTCAGCCTTGCCTTTGGCAGGCTTGGGCTTCTGGAAGTTACTGGACTTGCCCAGATGCTGGTCATAGAGCTTATTCTTGAAAGAGGTGTCAGTTGCCTTGGGGAACATGCACTCCTCTTCCAGGATGGAGAAGATGCCCATGGGCTGGAAGAAGCAGAAGGAAGGAGGAAGAGGTGAAAAGGCAGAAGGATTCACAGGTAAAGGAATAGCTTCCTAAGTGGGATGATATTGACACTTTCAGGGATTGTTCTCCTGCTCAGCAGAGAAAATTGTAAAATAATCTAAACTTATGTATTTACAATATCACATTTACCCTTGCAGGCTACATTTATAAATATATAAAAAAAATAATATATTTCTGAAAATATTAGACATTGTGTATTACAGAAATACCTTCTCAATGAGCTCAATGCAGGCAGCCAGGTCCATCCCAAAGTCAATGAACTCCCATTCAATGCCTTCCTTCTTGTACTCCTCCTGCTCCAGCACGAACATGTGATGGTTGAAGAACTGTTGCAGTTTCTCATTGGTGAAGTTGATGCACAGCTGCTCGAAGCTGTTGAACTACACAATTACAAATACACATTACTAGTAATGCAAATTTAGAAAGCTAGTGATAAAGAACAGTGCTGGGGTTTTGTAATAAACCACAGGAGGATCTGTGGTTCCTTCTTTGCCCAGCCAGGAGTTTAGAACTTTTGTCATGTGTCTCTTTTGTTAAGCTAAACTTTATCCACATGTTTATGACCCCTAGAAGTTTAGGCCACTTTAATATTTCAGATTTGTGAGTTTTGATATCTACTAGACTGGGCTGATTCAGTTACGAGAGAGTCCACAGTGCAACAGTTTATCCAACATTTTGGATATGATTTCAAAGCACGTCCCAAGCCTTCTAAGCACAAATTGTGTCTATGGAACTGGTGTCTCTGCATTAGGTACGAAATGCCATGTTAGTCTACTGTTTATAGTCAGTCAAAAAACTGCATTTATGGATTTCCATTGGCATGTGTGTAACACAAAGATCTATTCCCAATTAAAAACCTGTGGAAATCATGATACTTTAGATACAATCTTAAAGGATTAAACTATTTCTGCAAAGAAAAAAAAAAGACATCATTCCTTCTTAAGAACTTTGGCACACAATGCAGTTACTTCTAAAAGCATGGTAATAAAACACTGTTCTTACATCAAAGATCTCAAAGCCAGCAATGTCTAAGACACCAATGAAGTACTGTCTTGGTTGCTTGGTATCCAGCTGTTGGTTGATGCGAATAACCATCCACAAGAACATCTTCTCAAACACAGCCTTTGCCAAGGCACCTACTGAATTGTATACCTGAGAACAAAAACCAGAAGACTTATAGTTATCATACAGAGCGAAAGAGGAAGTCCAATCAATTCGTCAACAAAACAGGGATTTTTGTTACCTGCTGCACAGTTTGACCTTTGGTCACGTACTCATTCCCAACCTTGACTCGGGGGTAGCAGAGGGCCTTAAGCAGATCAGCTGAGTTCAGACCCATCAGGTAGGCAGCCTTGTCAGCAACTAAAGACCGAAAAAAACCCAGTTGTTAAGGTACCAGCAGGCATTAGTGTTCTTTTAAAAGAAGTATTAAAAGGCAATTCTAATAAAGATAAAAAGATTAGTTAAGATAAAAAAGTAATTTATCTGTAGTTCATCATAAGCAACATTCCCTAAGAATTATGAGGCATTTAAGTTGGCTATTTTTTCTTCACCTATACTTAGTTTGTTTTGAATTTTGAATGAACAATCATTTTGGAGACATTTAGTCAGGCAAACTTCTCAATAATAAATGCTAAAAAAGAAAAAAGAAAGATAAGCCTGAGATGATGATCAGGTTGCAGACAATTCCAGATCCTCTCAGAAGCAAATACAGTGCAATATGCTTAAGTGACTTGTAGTAGGGTAACTTTAAAGACATAATACTCAAGAGAATACAATGCACAAGTGTCAGTTATGCCTTTTTGAATCTACAGCTAAACATATAAAATGAAGGGCTATTCTTTGATGTGCATCCTCAAACAAAAAGTTTGGCATTTTACCTTTTGCTATTGATTTTACTATTGAATTCAAACTCTGCCAGCAGGCACAGTACATGAAATGATTTATTCAAGAATGCTTAGGTAATTAATATAAAATTATGATAAAAAAGTATAGCAGATTGTTGCATGAATATTGGACATGATCTAACAGTCTGAAATAGCATCAAGAGATATTTAGGCTAGAAATTGGAAAAAATTTCCCGTGATAAGGATAGTGAAGTACGGGAATAGATTGCATGTTTTTCTCAATGTTTTCAAAGGCAGATAAAGAAAGAACGATTGCACAGTAAATGGAGTCCACAGGAGGTGGAGAAGATGCACTGCCACAATCCCAGGTTTGTGAGCAAATAAAACTAGCAAAATAAAAGATGACTATGCAACACTGGGAATTTGTTCACAGGTTCAGAGTAATCCTCAGAAGAGGATTATAGTGTCTGTGCAACAGAACTGATTTCAGTGGAATCAATGTAATGTACACTGCTCTAAATGTTTCCAAGATTTGGTCAGCAAAATATCATCACTGAAATAAAGTTACAGCTATTATTTGTAGCCTGTTCTAC